TAAGTAAATTATTCTTTTTGTTCATTTTAATTTTTGAAGTAATATGATTCTTAAAACTATGGAATGTAAAGTTTAAATAGGCCTTTCAGGTTATATCATTAAATTTAGTAAAACTATTTCTCAGGCATTAGGTTTTAACTCTAATAAGAAGATACATATTTTTTTCTGTTTATTTACAAATATTTTTCAGATGTGTTTTGGATGTTCCTTCCTTAAAAAAAAAGAGATACCATCTAGTTTTCCGTTGTATAAGAAAGGATATCAAACATTTTTCTTTTTTAAATTTAATAAGCCACATTAAAGACGGAACGTTATAATGCTACACGCTACATTAAAGACGTCTCCAGAGTAACTGAATGACGGTTCATGTAGAAATCGCAGGTATGCGTCTCATACAACAACGCCCCCTATAGTTTATTGCGATCGCGAATTGAAAATGCTATTAATGCAATACGTACTGTATGCATCACTCTCTCTTTTTTTCTTTTCATCTACGAAATTAATAAATTCTATTGATAAACAACAATTTAAAAATGGCAAGAACAACTGAAAAGCTGTCTTCTCCAGTTTCGGTTCTTCCTTTCAAATAAAAAAGATATTAATTCTGTAAAGCTCAGATATTACTTTTCAGTCCTTCAATATTAAAGAGCGAATTTTTTCATTTATATGGTTAATTTTCAATTTATAAATTTCAGTAAATATGAACTAAAGCAGAGTTTTATGTTATCGTTTATTCTATGCCAAGGAGCGAGAGCCATAGAAAATGAAACCGTTGGGCTGATTGGGTAATGAACTTACGTATGAATGCAAATGTCTGATTGGTTGAAAATGAGTTGAATGAGACAAAAAGAGTCGAGAATCGAATGAACGATCCTCTGATTGGTTAAAAATGAGCCGAATGCGAGAAAAAGAATCAAGAGTCGAATAAACGACTCAATGAACTGTTTGCCTATCTCTTAGCATTAAATGAATCATAAAGCCAAATGAATCGATTCTTTTGAACTTTTTCCTATCCCTTAACATTGAAATCGGCTCAAAGAGTTGAATTGAACCTCTAAACGATTCATTTGAGTCGTTTCGTATCTCTTAACATTGAAATCGGCTCAAGGAGTTGATTTGGATTTCCAATTAGTTCTTTTGAGTCGTTTTCCTATACTTTAACATTGCATTCGATTCACTGAACTGTTTAAACGATTCATTTGAGCGGCTTTATATCTTTTAACATTAAAAGAACTGTTTTGTGAAACGAATCGATTCTTTTCGCTATTATCTCATTTTCTAAAATTAAAAGATACCTTCAGAGGGATGGGGGTTATGAAAAGGGGCATGTAACTAAAAATATTTAGAAAAAAGGACAGTTTTTTTTTCTTAAGAAAAAGATTAAAAAAAAGAAATATTTATTAATTATTTTAAGGGGTTGAAAAACTGTTTATTGCGAAAAATTTGAGTATTTAGAGTAAATATTTTTTTAATGCTGGGGGGGGGGGGGGATATTTTTTATTTTATTTATTTATTTTTTGTTAGGAATACTTTTAGACAAACTTATTGAATATCAATTCATATCCTCTCACTTTTTCAAGTTTTAATTTTTTAAGTTTTAAAACGCAATTTAACTATTTTTTTATTTTGTTTCACGTTATACAATTTGAATTTTTTTCATTATTATAAGTGAATTTACTGTTTTATTTTTTTACGAATATCTTTATTGTTAGTTACCGGTCTTTATATTGACAAATTTAAAAAAAAAAAGAAAAAGTTAATAAAATTGTTATCTCAAACAAATTTTAAAAAAAAAATTAAAAAAATATTAAAATTCTAAAATTTTTTTTAGTATTGCCTAGATTAGGAGCTCCCAAATGGTGTTTGGCGGAACCCTTGGGTTCCGTTTAGAATTACAGGGGTTCCACTAGTTAGTACTTTTAATAGTCACATTCAACTGGACCACCCAAGTGGAACATTCTGCTTCTGAACCCTAGAGCCCGAGTTCTAGATTAACGGTTCCCAATTGGTGTTCCGGGCAGCCCTATGGTTCCGTGGAAAAGTTACAGCTGTTACACGAGATAGTACTTTTATAGACACCCAAGTAGAACATTCAACTTCTGCCCCCTAGAGTATAAGATCTAAAAGAGTGATTCCCAAATGGTGTTCCATGGAACTCTAGAGTTCCGTCAAGAATTGTAAGGGTTCCGCCAGTTGGTACTTTTTTTAGCCACATTCGGCTGACCACTTAACTGGAATATTCTGTTTCTGCACCCTAGAGCCCAAGATCTAGATTAACGGTTCCCAATTAGTGTTCCGGGGAGCCCTATGGTTCCGTGGAAAAGTTACAACTGTTACACGAGATAGTACTTTTATAGCCACCCAAGTAGAACATTCAACTTCTGCCCCCTAGAGCACAAGGTCTGAAAGAGTAGTTCCCAAATGGTGTTCCATGGAACTCTAGAGTTCCGTCAAGAATTGTAAGGGTTCCGCCAGTTGGTAATTTTTTTAGCCACATTCGGCTGACCATTTAACTGGAATATTCTGCTTCTGCACCCTAGAGCCCAAGATCTAAATTAATGGTCCCCAATTGGTGTTCCGTAAAGCCCTATGGTTCCGTGGAAAAGTTACAGCGATTACACGAGATAGTACTTTTATAGCCACTCAAGTAAAACATTCAACTTCGGCACCCTAGAGCACAAGGTCTGAAAGAGTAGTTCCCAAATGGTGTTACGTGGAACCCTTTGGTTCCATTAACAGTTAGCGAGTTAGTACTTTTTATGGCCAGTGATGAGTTTCAAAACCTCAGATTGTATTTAAATACAATCTGAGGATACGATTCTATTTAGATACAATTTATTTAACATATAACCAATAAAATAGAAATGGCATTTTTTTAAAGAAAATATAATATTTCTAATAACAATATAACGCATAAATTATGAAATGGACAGGCATTCATAAAATATTGCATTGATATTTCTCATTACACTTTTCGAATCAAAATAATTATCTTCTTTAATAAAAAAATATGTTTCCTTCATTACCATTTCCAGCGTTTTTGGCAGTTTTTCTAAATTTTCATTACGAAGTAGAACATAATTCGGCTTATTTTAACTTATTATTTATTTATATTATTTATTTCAAATTATTTATTTTCAACTTAAACACTAAAATGGAATTCCTAATTAGACTAAATATAGCACAAGAGCTGAAAATTTAACTTTCGGATATTACTAATAAAACGATGAAAATTCTTCCTTCCTCTAGTTCAATACTTTAAAAATATTTTTAATAGGCTATAACGTTCAGTATTTCCTTAAAAAACTTTATTTATAAAGTCAGGTGTTCCGCCGAAAGAAGGTTAATTATTTTGGGTTCCATAGCCGAAAAATATTGAGAGCCCCTGACCTAGATCAACTAATTCAAACACTAAAACAGTCTAAACTAATGAGTACGACCTCCTTTTATAAACACTCTTCTATTATAACGACCATTAAAAAAAAAGAATCGATTCATTAAACCGTTCAAATTAGTGAATTGTTTCTAAAGAATCGATTCATTTAAATGAATCGATTGGCACATCACTAACTTCAAGTGAATATCAAGTTAACATGTGTTATATATTAGTGAATTGGTATTCAATATTTATAGTGGTAGTTACGCCACAACCTCTTCCTCAATATTTTCAGACATTACAAATGAATTTAAAATTTCTTTATTCAAGGTCAAAAGCATTTCGTTTTTCTCTCTGAGAATTTCAAATGTCGCCAAACGCAAACTTCTTGTTTTGCGGCTACATCAATAACATTGTACAACAGAGTAAATGCAGCCCTGGTAGACTTCCGTTTTAATTTCAGAACTTCCATAATTGTCAACAAGCAAACACTTCTTTATAATATAAATAACATGCAAAATTTCAACAATTATCGTCCAAAGTCCTTTGCCTTTCTGAATTCGAATCATTAAATTTCAAAACACAAGGAGTACGCCATTATGACCCATAAAACAATGAGATTCTTTAACTTTTTGTTCAAAATAAATATTCAGATATTTAACTTTAAAACATGACTTTTATTTACAAGAATTTTAAATATGGAACATAGAGAGTTGGCATAAAGGGAAACTAAAGTGAAACAACAAAAGATAACTTGAAGTAGTAGCTACAGTCACTAAAATAACATATTACAATCTCAAACACACGCCGTGTTTGCGTGAAACAATCACAAAAAAGCTAATGAATTACAAAACATTCGTTAAAGTTGACACGCAAGACAATAGTTGTGTCATTGAATTTTGTTTACTTGTTTTTAAAAAAAAAAATTGTAGATAAAATATTTTAAAAAGCCTTCAATTGATTCTTATACACGCACTTACCATTCATCAAATTACAAACAAATATAAAAACTCTTCGTTTTGTTTTGCATTCATCAGCTTCTTGATAGCTCGTTTCTTTTCCTTGGAGCCTTTTCCTGGTCTAACTTGTGTGCAAAAAAATTAAGTAATTACTACTATCTTAAGAATTGCTATTACTGTTATCCCGGATTTAATAATTTCATAAAAAATGAAATACAGAGATTCGTTATTATTTGTGAAGAATGGTAAAATTTCCTTGTCAACTCAGATTCTTTATTCTCTGTTAGAGTTTCAGATGACTTAACGTATGCAGACAAATTTTTTGACCGCAGAATTTACATGAAAATTTAGATGCAAAAAAAAGTAAATTCTTCGCTCGCATTCCAAGTCGAAGAACATTTCCACAAAGAATTCGTTCATCTTGTGAAGAACTGCGAATTTTTCTTGCCAACTCAACGTCTCTATTTTCTGTTAGCTTTCAAGATCTAACTTCACCGAAAGAACTTCAACTGAATTTGATGTCAAAAACTTGATTGAAACTGATTCACAAGAATTCCATAAAGATTTTATATAGAATGGCAGATTATTTTCCCTCTAAACTTAGAATCGCAGCCCTACCACTTTCCGTAGTCTTACAAATTAAAAGAATCAACAACACTACCATCATCTCGGGATGTGAAGCAGAATTAATAAATCTACTATCACGTAAACTAAATTTCGAATATGAGATTCTTGTTCCCTCCGATTCAACGTACGGTTCAAGGGATGCATTCGGAAATTGGACTGGAATGATGGGAATGCTTACAAGGAATGAAGCTGACGTGGGATTCCCCTTTATAGGTATCACCGAAGAGAGGGCTGCTGCAGCGGACTTCAACATACCTTACCTCCCTTTCGAAAAAACGTTTATGATGAACCATGCTTCATTCTTGCCCAAAACATCAGCATTCACGTATCCTTTCAGCAGACTCGTATGGTTTTCATTCTTTATCGTACTCCTCTTAGTGACAGTGCTATTTCGAGCTTTGATTTCCCCAAGAGATTCTGTTTGTTCCGTTTTCATCAATTTGTGGGCATCTTCTTTCGGACAGGGACTGAACTACAGCCCTCGTTCAATGTCCAGGCGGATACTACTTGGAATTTGGCTCATTTATTCATATCTGATAATTCTGAGTTACAGCTCAGTCCTGTTATCGTTTTTGACATCCCCGATTAGAATGAAGCAAATAAAAGATTTCAAGGAACTCTATGCGGCAGTCAGAGAGGGGAAAATGGAGTGCCGATCAGGATACCCCTCTCTGGAAGCAGAGTATTTGTCAAAAAGCGATGTACCCCATGTTAAAGGATTAGGGGAATATGTTAAAAAGAATAAATGGTACTTCTCACCTAGTACGATCCGAAGTGTACCGAAACACACAGCATTGCTCGGGTCACCCATTCTATTTCGCATACTTTTTGGGAATCCTAAGAAGCACTTTTATTCGAAGGAAACTTTTGGATTTTTCGGATCAGCTGCACTCAGCAAAGATTTTTGCTGCAAAGAGCGTTTCAAAACAATCCTACTCAGAATTTGTAGTGGTGGCTTATATAATAAATTCATGAGCGATTTATTCTTTAAATTAGATTTAAAGAGAAGTTCAAACAATGACATTTATAGTAGGTCTTCAGCATCACCTTTAGGATTATCAGATTTAAATGGACTGTTCATTATTCTAGGTATAGGCTGGGCATTAGCTATTTTCACTTTGATATTGGAAATCACCTACAGTCGATGGGTACGCTCAAAACTTCCCCAAACCTAAAATATGCGATGTGGAAATACTTTTTAAATTTTACAACCTTCACCATCACCTTTTTCGAAACACATTATTATTATTATTATTTTATTTTATTTGAAATTAGACGTTCTACTATATCGTTTAGTAATTTTTATCCCTCGATCAAATTTCCACGTTATAACTTGTATGAGTAAAATAAACCACATTATTTTCAAAAAGCATTGCATTTATTATATAATGTAAGCTTTCAGTCGAATTTTTTTTAAAAACTAGTTTCAAAATTTTTGTATAAATATTAATATAATGTTAGATATGAATGAATATTTCAGTATTTGTGTATATATTTATCCATTATCTGGGATCATGTCATACAGTTCTAGCTCAATATTCTTGCTTACAAATTAATAGTGTATATCAGATAAGATTGTCAGCAGAATCACCAGTGGTGAATATAAAAACTTATCCTGTTACATAATAATGCAAACCCTCGTATTTTAAAAGTCTCACTCCAGAATAAGGTTTTTCTTCATTAAGTTTATATTCTTTCATCTACCGTTCTTTTAAATAGGCATTCAGTACAATTATTCACTTTCTTCGCACAGTTTGTATAAAAAGTTGATGACCTATTCAACCTATGTTTCTTCTCCGTTTTGTTCATATTCATGTGTTAAGTATGTTCACGATGACTGCAAGCCCGAGTTAAACTGAACAAATTATTTTTTGTAATTCTTTATTTGATGTAAATGCCAATAAATATATGAGTTGTTTGCTTCACAAATCTATTATAATGCACATATTTTTTAGCAAGGTTTCAGAAATTTTTTGTTTAATGGAGTTAATAATGTGTGCAGGAAAAGTTTCGTCTAATGTGTAATCTAATAAAAAAAAATTATTTTGTAATAAATGAATTATACTCAACTATTTATTTATTGCTTCATTTGAATCGATGAAACAATGAAGTACAACACAACTCTTAATTATTTAGTGCAGTGTTTCCCAAAATAGTTGTCTACAAAATCACACATTCTTAGTTATTTTAGTTACATATAACATAAGACTGCACTTTACAAACGCTCACATATCGAAAGTTCTCAGATACTTGCCTCTTGCAGCCAACCTACTTTGAAGAGGGTCCACGACGCAAAAATCTCGTAAAAATGAATGAGCGTAAATGAAAATAATAATTATAATGATAATGCTCCCCCTTCTTTATCAAATGTTTAAAAATTATATTTGTATATCATTTGGAACTAAAGATAAAACTTTTTTTGTCCTTCCATTGCATTTCAAATACTGAAAATTTCAATACTTTTTTACTTCTATTATTTTTATATTGTTTTCAACTTTTAAATCAAGCATAGTTGAAATTGAGAAATTTAGAATATGTATTACATTTCAGATTCATTACTTTATAGATATTGTTTTTCTTTTTATTCTACATTTTTTAAACTTTTAAATGATATAGTATCGCATTAGCTAAAAATGATAATTCTGAGAAATTTGGAAGAGTATTATAATTTAGATTGATTATTTCATTTTCTTTTCATACCACTTACCATGTATTTTTTTTCTAAATTTTTAATGATCTCCATAACTGAAAATACTAATTTTGAGAAATTTTGAATATATGTATGAAATTTTAAATTGATTATTTCCCATTTTTTTTATATTCAGGCCTTATTTTTTCAACTTTTAAATGACAATAGTATTTTGTTAGCTAAAAAGTATAATTTTGAGAAATTTGGAATCTGTATATTTTAGATTATTTTTTCATATTTTTTTAAGATTCCTATTTTTTTACTATATCTATTTTCCTTTTTTTCAACCGTTAAACTATGCAGTATCTTAATTGAAACTGATAATTTCCAGAAATTTAGAATACATAATCATATTTTTAATTGATTTATATCCATGAAGTTCAAAATTCTTGTTATATTTTGATTTAAGAAAATTTGATCGTTACGCAAATATAAATTATTCTGAAATTACACAAATATAAGTGTTAAAAAATTAAAACAAGACAAATGGTTGATATTTTGTTCAAAGCCAATGAAAATTTGTTACTATCAAAGCATTGAAATAGTTGCAATTATATGAAACATTGCAAAGATCAAAATTTTAGACTTTGAAAATTTTTTAAAATGTCGATCAGAATATTTATTTACAGGAGAGAGAAGGACCAGTGTGGACAATTTTTATAAATTTGCCAAGAAAGAAAAAACAGATTACAAACCATCATTTGGGTGTTTATTTAGGGTGTTTTTTAAATAAAATTTGAACTTTTATCTTCATTACAATTTGACCAAAATCTAATTTATACTCCCACTATTTTAAAAAAAATTAAGTTTTTTTTTTTTACTCTGGTAGCATAATATGAGATATGTATGTGAAAATTATGAAATTGATTATTTTATCTAATATTTCCACAAAAAAAATAAAGAAAAGAAAAATGGATCTTATTTATCGTTAATAAGGACAAGATTTAATATTTTTGCAGCAATATTTTATTTTACTTAATACTGAGCTACATAAAATACATAAGCTACACAAAATAAAAATACATAAGCTAAGCAAAATAAGAACACATAAACTACATAAATACCTAAAATACTTCAGCTACATAAAAATACCAGCTTATATATTCTTAGCAATGTTTGTCATTTATAATATAATATTTCTTATTCATTTAAAACAACTAATAAAAATAGTGTGAATGAGCAATTAAAAAGCAAATTTGGAAATCATATACTTTTCCATCTTGTTTATAATTAGTTACTTAACATATTTTTATGAACCTGCTAAAATTATGAGAGGAAAATTTTGACTGACAAATAACATTTCATATAATTAGCACAATAGCTCTTAAATGGTTCAACAAAACTCAAATTTCAAAATAAATAAATAAATAAAAATAAAACATTTCTCCAGCTCCTGTTATAAGTATAAATTTTCCGATTTTCTGACAGTGTGTCTATTCTATCACCATTTAGGTCCCTTGTTTTCTATAGGTTTTTGCTTTTCGAATTATTTATTCTTACATATTTTGTGAAGTTATTTCAAGAAAAGAATTTTTCTGATACATCTGTTGATAAAAGCGTGTAACTTATTTGTATTTGTTTTCAAGTTGCACAATGTTTTTGATCCGCATAAAAGTAATGATTTCACATTTGATTTGTTTTTTTTGTTTCATTTGATACAGCCATGCATGTCCAAAATTTATTTAGATTAGCAAAAACACTGGGAGCATATATGGCAGTACTTTTACTTTCGTTACTAGTACCGCCGGTACAAGTAAAAAGTACGTACTTTTACTTGTACTTCGTTACTTTTTAAATTTAGTACTTTTACTTGTACTTTCGTTACTTTTTTAGGGAAAAAGTAAAAGTATTTGTAACGGAAATGTCGAATGAAATCGTTACTTTTTTCTAAAACTCGGTAAGCTTTCTAAAAAAAAA